CATGTGCCTTGGGTCTTACCCTGGTGGCCGAGACAGGCCATCCCAACACTTGGTGGCACACCAGTATCAGCCTTGTCAGGATAAATCTCCCCAGACTTATCCAATGGCTATGAACATTTAAAACTAACACGAGTCTCAATAAGTGTCCAGTTTTAAGGTCTTACACAGAATTATACCAAACAACATGAATCAAACATACACTTTATTTATTTACATTAAATATAAAAAATACATCAAATCGGATTGAAGCTAAGGGTCTGTTCTCCCTCCTTGAAGATAAAATTGGAAGACAAGGTACGAAACTATCAACATACCCCCATCACATAGAATCCCTTCAATATAGGAAAAAGCTCAGATCACCATAATAGGAAATTCATTAGTTAGTCACAAAAATGGCATCATCCAAAGAACTTGAACGGAATGAGTTGAAGAAAAAGTAGATGAGAACATGATGGACCAAAGTTCTTCACGAAGGCTCTGATACCATAAATAGGCAGAGAAGAATTAAGTTCTCTCGTTTGATATGATTGAGAGAAGAACACTCATTTATATTACAGTTTAATTATGTACACTTGTCAAAACTTTAGAGAAATATACATAACAAGATAATACACAACTAATTTGTAGTTGTGAAGTTTTTCCGGTTACTGGAAACTGCATGAACAGTACACATGTCACATAACTGTAGTATTTGTAACATATGGCATTCAGGCTTTTCTTTCATAGATTTCTCACTACTAATCTTTTTGAATTGGTGGTAATTGAGTTCTTTTTGCTACTTCAATGAAAGATGAATGTGTCCTTTAGAATGTTCTTATTGGTCCAAATGAGTGAGCCAGCCATGTCACATCAGTAATAGTGGACAACATAAAACTAATGGAGGACAAGAACCATTATCTTATCTCTTCATCTTACCGATTCTCTCTTCAAAATAAAGCCCTAGAACTCTCGCCTGTGGTCATTCTCTTCCCTTTCAGCGAATAAACCCAACTCCAATGATTCTATCTCTGTTCTTCATTTTCTTGTGGTGGTTTTCAATTCCAACAGAGCTTGGTAGAACCCTATTCGTTGTTTTCATCTCTCATATGGTCAAGGGGATATTTGCTACCAAGATTTTGACCTGGTCGACCTCTCTTCTGTATAAAAAAGAAGAAAACTTCAAATCTTTGTAAATGAATTCGAAGGGAAGATGATATGGAAGAAAAAGAATCACATAACACAACATAGGCATGTTGTTATTTGGGCTTTGTTTAGGAAGAGTGCAAATAGAGTACAAATAAAAATATATAGAGTGCATTCTGGTCCATGCAAATGCAATGTTGGTTTAATTTTGCAATGATAAATTTACTTTCTTGTCAAATGAATTTTAGTTGTAATGGGTGTAAGCACAAATCCCGAGATTGAAATATTGATCAACTTTAAGTGTAAAATTTATATCCTTTTCTGATATGAACTTTGTCCTCATTTTGGGTGCAAGCATGCATTGGAATCAGTGTTTTCTGTTATTGTCAAGGCACAAATGCATTATTATGCATTGCCAAACACTATCAAAATTGAACCAGAGTGCATATATACATTGAACCAGCATTTACATTCTTCCCAAATGGAGCCTTAGGGAAAAATAAGCAATGCCTTGGGAGGACAAAATCCATAATCCGATAGAGAATTGGGTCACAATCTGGTTTAATCCTGTAAAAAAATGATGAACAAATGGAGTCTCTGTCGCCAATGATGGAAGAAATAGATCGTTCAACTTATTTGTTCTCTCTCCTTACATTAATGTAGTGTAGAATGAGTTGTTCCAATTATAGTTTTCTCTCTTTTCTTGTGTGCAAAATTTATGGATTCTTAATCATATACTGAACAAAACATAAAATTCTGAAGTTTAAAACAATACTCATTCAAGGGGAAATAGTGCCTACATTGCATGGAAAACTTTTAGGATTCTTCATGGGCATAAGTTTTACAGTTGACTCGTTGAGCAACCATCCCCTTCTATTTTCTTGGGGATTACAGACAGAAAAGCTAGAGTTAAACCCCATCAGTTTGCGTACTCAGCATCCTCTCTTCTTTGTTTCATATAAGAGGAGACATAATATGAATGTTACAATCTTAAAAAGATCCATGTCAACATAAGAAAGGTGTTGAAAAGGAAGGTAAAGGCATACAACCTCTTCAAAAAGTATATGAGAGAGGAAAGAGGCATCTATAATGGGTTTTTAGATGAGAGATTGTTGGAGTTTCTATAAGCAACATTCTTTGTTTGTTGATCAGTGCCAATTTCATTGTTAAAATAGGTCTTTGTTTTGAAGAGAAGATGGGGAAGACGAAGAGATAAAGATAAGGGTTCTTATCCTTTAATTTAACTTGTCCTATAATATTAATGTGACATGGCAAGTCTATTGACTTGAACTAATAAGAATGATCAAAATGAACATCCCTCACTGAAGGAGAGAAGAAAACTGTGAGGTAATTACCATTTGAAGCTCATATTTTTTAATTTTTTTGATGGATTGATGTCTGTTTGAAAGTGGGAATAACCCCTTTTGAGATATTCTTTGTCAAGAAAATAAAATATCACTTGTCTAACACTTAATCTAGGGCTGCTACCGAATTGAGCTTAACCAAACTTTGACATGTATTGTCTCGGTTTTATTAATATAGTCATATGTTTGAATTCGAATTCGATTTGATTGTGTTCGATAGGTTCGAGTTTGGCTCGAAAGTTGAAAAAACTAAATGAGCTTGCAAATTCGAGCCTATATTCAACATATCAACCGTGTTTTTTTCACAATAAAGCATCAAATTGCCTAATAGTTTTCTTACAACAAAACCCACATAAATTAAACATCAAATTTTCTATTAATCTTTGATTAGAAAAAAAAAGGCTCTGTTCAGTAACAATCATACTATATGAGTCCCAATCTAAATATTTGAGTCTCTATCCCAATTTCACTTTTGATTACAAAAATGTTGTTTCCTCTTTCTTTTCTTTCAAAAATCGTTCCATAGTTAATTAGTTTTCGTGCGGAAAATAATCTATCAACGAAAGGGGGAGAGAGAGATAGAGAGGGATGGAGGGAGAGATAGAGAGAGAAAGAGAGCGAAACTTACTGATATAGAACACGGATGGCTGTCTCTCTCAGACTGATTTTGGGCTGAATCTCTGCTGCAGTCTGCAAGCCTGGAACTGTCGAAAAGAAAGGTATTCTTTTATTAGAAAATAGAAAAAGAGAGAGAGAGGGAAGGAGAAAGAGACTGGGAGAGAGAAAGAGAGAGAAACTTATTGAGTTTGAATCTTTTGAAGTTTTGATTGAGTTCAAGAGTGTTGAACTAGGTCCCCCCCTATCCCCCTTTGTTTTGAGTTTTAACTTTTAAGATTATAATTAAGCATTACGGAATTAATCTGGGTTTTGTTTGGGCACATCAACAGGCGCGTATGTGGGTGAGTGGGTCTGTGAGACCTGTGGTAGCGTGGTCACTGGTCAGGTCACATGTGGGTAAACGAGCCCGAATCGCAAGCTTTAGAGCTAAATATTTCACCACTTGGATTCAAGTTCGAATAACCAATCAAGCCTATCATGAGATTCGAGCTTGATTTGAACTCGATTAGCTTCAAACTCAAACCAGGCCTTATCGAACTCAAGCCCAAATAATTCAATTACAGCTCGGTTCGGTGGCAGCGGAGATGTGATCCTAGGTCTTTGCTACAACGAGTGAGATCCTAGTAAATGAACCACCAATGGTTAATGACTTTATTGCGTTGGATTCCATCAATCTTCTCTTTCTTTTTTCTCTCTCTTCTCTTTCAAACACCATAAATAGATATTTAGGTAGGTGTGCGTTGGTTGGGTTAGAATGATATCTGTAGGTTGGACATCTCAGTCAATTGTTTGGACCACAAGTAGATGGATATGTTAAATGAGTGGGTTCCACATCTAACCCACCCACAAGAACCCAATTTCCACCCTCATGGTACGGTAGCAAGTAAGCATAAATTATAGATCTAAAATCATACATTGGTGGTGGTTGGGTTATCAATGAGATTTTGGGTTCGTTTGATTTGCAGTCAGATTTAAAATTGGAATCCTTCATAAGTAGAATGGCTATTCTCATAGTCTGTTTGGTTCAGACAAGAATAAAAATGAAAATTAGAATTAATCGAAATGAGATTTCATTCCTAAGAGAGGAGAGATAATGGTCATGTCATTCCACCAGAAATGAGAATAAGATTCAATTCCATCCAAACAAACAGTTAAAATTCAAATGTCCGGCAAACCAAACGGGCCCTTTATTGTTGCTGATTTCTTAAGCCTGACATGTGAGAATGGGGCATTAAATGTACTAGGTCCCTGCTTGAGAAGGTTGAGGCGCAGTTGCTTATGGGTTTTTGAGGTGGGTCCTCAGACAGCCGAGCCCATGTCGGCTATCAATAGTCCTGAGTGCCTCAAAGCAATTACTAAATCTGAACATCTTAATTTAGCTTTTCTTTTTTTTTTTATAAACAAAAATTTAAACTAATAAAGAAACAGAAGACAATAGAGTATGCATTTAAATTAATAAAGAAACCGAAGACAATAGAGTATGCAAAAAGGGGAGGAGGAGAATCCATCCAGCACCTCTGGCTCTCCTCTAGTGCAGCTTAGTCTAGTTTAGGCTTCCTAATGGGCCATGGCTACTGAGTTCACATTGGTGCCCCACATGCATATTTCAGCTTGCATTTTAAGCATGTTTCGATGTTGTCACTGGGAGATGTTTCTAATACATGGTTAGGATGGATTGGGGCAAGGTTCAAAGTATCGTTATGTATTAGTTCGTATCGTTCGATATGTATCGTTCTGGGACCCTTCCAATATGCCTTTATAGTGGGTGTATTAGAGGTCTAACCGGTTCAGGGGATAAAGGGGTCCTAGACCGATTCCCCTGAACCAGTTTTGAAAAAAAAAAAGAAATAAGTAAAAAAAATAAGTATCAAAATACCCGATACACCCCTACCGGCATATCGGGTGTATCAATATTTTGAACCTTAGATTGGGGTGCCCACGAGGCACGCTCTATAGGGTGTAGATGGGAATTCATGGCTGCTTGGCATGAATTTGTCAAAAGGGGAGTCTAGTACGACCTAGAGCCTGGGCCTAATGGGCTGTAAGCTGGGATGGTTTATTTTAAGAAAAATTGAAAAAAAATCTTAAAATTATACGCATATATACATATTATATATAGTGTATATATGTAATTATGTAAATTTATATGGGCCATGCCATGTTGGGGCAGATTACACTAATCCGCCACTACTGCTGACTGCAGGGCTTTAGTTCAACACCTTTCCTCTTGCTCCGTTTCCTTTGTCCCTCACTATCGCTAATTCGCTATTCGCTTTCGCCATGGTAATAAAGCTAAGCTGCCTATATATGTAGTGTAGTAGCAAAAAAAAGGTCTCTCTCTTCCTACAACTTATACTTAGATTTTAAATGCTAACTGTTCTAAGGGACTCCCCACTTATTTAAGTTGAATGAATTAGCCTTATGGCTTTTTTTCGGAAAAACAAAAAATCTTTAACACGCTTTGCTATGATTGTTCTTGAATACAGACTTTAGGCCACCATTGTCCATTGTTGATTAGCTTAATAAGATCTAACTAATTAATTTATTGTTTAAGAAATTTGTGCACCGATCAGTTAACCCTGGGTATGTAGAATCTTTTATTACCAAATCTCTCTTCAAGTTTGATAATTATAATCACCACCCTTGAAGTTTCCGACATAGTTGTATGTAGACTCCCTCTAGTAGAATTTTATGTCGTGCCATGCCAGTTCATGAAGGGCCTGACCCACTTTTGGCTGCATTTAGAAATGAGACAAATAAATGTAAATGTAAATATGTAAAGTGTAAAACGGTCTATATAAATTATAAAATTGGGTTAGTTTACACTGACAAATTTACCTTCTTATCAAATAGACTTTTAGTTATAGTGGATGAAAATATGAATTCCAATAAAACATGTGTCAAAAGCTTACTTGAATATAAATTTATATCTCATTTGCCAATTCTATCATTTGTTAATGCATAAATGCAATGTTGCCAAACATAAGCCAAAGTGAACCAGAGTACAAATTTTGATCAAGGCGAAGCTGGGGTTATTTAAGGCACGGGTGTCAAAGAATCTGGAAAAGGGCCCACTACCATGCCTGGTGGGGCCCGCCTAGATGTGTCATTGCTCTCCGATACAATGTAAAGGTCAGCGAAAGAACCCAAATAATAAATGCAAAAACCAAGACCAACCGAATCACTGATTCGTCATAACTCACAAGTCACGAAGTCAAATCGTATTATGTTTGCATTCATTTAATTATTACATCGCAAATGGGAGCAAGGGCATAGTCGGTATGTAGACCCATCACAGGAACTAGGGCAACATTATAGAACAGCGTCTCCACTATCTATATATAGTAGTCACTTTGCTGTCATACGTATATAGAGGAGATGTCTCAAATCACACCAGATATCAGAGCCAAGGCCGAGATCCACCATGGGCATGAAGTTTGCCAAGAGAGATTCAAGGTGTTTCTAGGGGCTGCTGGACTCCCCACTGGTCTCATCCCCATCAAAGAAGCAGAAGAATGTGGGTACGTAGAGGAAACTGGTTTTGTCTGGTTCATACAGAAGAAGAAAACTCAGCACAAGTTTGAATCGATCGGAAAGCTAGTCTCATTTGCAGCTGAGGTGACAGCGTATGTTGAACCAAACAGGATCAAGAAGCTGACTGGTGTCAAGGCCAAGGAGCTCTTGATTTGGGTCACCTTGGCAGAGATGAGCCTCGATGATCCCAGCACCGGCAAGATCATCTTCAAGACTCCGAGCGGTCTGTTCAGGTCCTATCCCGTCTCTGCTTTCGAGGAAAATGAAGTCAAGGAAATCAAAGAAGCAAGGGAAGCCAAGGAAGCCAATCTTTCATGTAGTCGGTGCTAAGTAATAATGAAACTTGATGCTTGGTTAAATGCATGGTTTCTTGATGAATTCTATGGTATTAATGTATTAGTTCTCTCTATGTATGTTTGCTTTTCTGGTTTCCGTTCCGTAGTCTGGGAAAAGGAAAAAGAAGTTGGACCAACAAGTCGATCGACTTTGGGTGACCTAAACTATAATTAAGCAATTTGGATGAATATGTTCATGTTGGAGTTTTGATTTTAATCTACTACATGCATGAGTTGGTGCTTGGTAGGATCGGTGGTAATGATTGAAATCGCCAAGCAAACCTCTCATGGTTTTCTACTGTACCCAAATGATTGAAATCTCCAAGTTAATTTCTGAGAACGAAACTGAAATCATCCACATATTCAATAACGTAGCATGCATCTACCCATAAGTTGGCATCCTTGTTTACTCCATAGTGAACCTGGGATGGGCACAGTTGCCAGTTGGCAAGGGGTGGCAGCAGGAAGCACGACCCTAGCCCAGCTGCAGCCCTGTGATTTACGGGACAGACATATAAAGGCCCAGTAAGGCTTGGATCGGATCAGTGATGTATACATACCACATATAGGGGCTAAGATCTATGTGGGTGTGCATTAAATAAGTTATAACAAGCTCTCATAGGTGTCAGGTGAGTCCGGATTTCTTGCACAATCCTTCCTGAAGACCTTTTTGTACATCAAATCAAAGAGTGCCATGTCAGCATTTTCTTATGTTAAAATTTCACGTGCGTGAATTAGAATAACAAACATTTCAAACGTCTTTCCTGTTTTTAGCATATTAAAATTTTAAAATAAATAAAAAATACGGATTAGGGTTTATTTTTCCTATTTCATTTTCCAAGTCACTCCACTGTTCTAATAGGTTCTTACTTCAGATTCCAAATGCCATTTCAGACTTTGGCAGCTTCAAATTCCCTCTTCATGCCATGCCAAGCATTTCTTTCTCTTATCTCTCCAATTTTAATGGCGCAAAACCCCAGAAGACCAAACCCAAGAAGATTAATTCCTATTTCTCATTTTGCTTCAGGTTCTAAGGCCAAGTCTTCGCTCCCAACTGACCTGAAACCAGCAGAAATTAGGCCAACGGTGGTCGGAGAAGAAAGTGCTGGCTCTCCTAGTCAAGTCGGTCATTAGTTTCAATTTTCTTCGAACATTATTATTGTCTGATATCTCCATTATCTAATCTAACCATCTTACCCTAGATCTGTAAAAGGTAGGCAGTCAGGATGAGAGTAGTGTCGACACTCTTTAACGGCAACCTTGCATTAACGGTGAATTAGTTGCTTAACTCCCCTGAGACCAGCATAGAGAAGCTCATTTTCCCTTCGTTCTCCCACTCGTCCAAACTATCAACAACCGAAGGAGGTGCATCAAGCATCCCCATCGACATCCCCGAAACCCCAAGGCATAAGTATTCTATATGGATGTCCTTGACGACTCTAAGTCCAATGTCCAGGTTACAGTGGCGGACGACTTTATGATGGTGATACAAAGAACCGGCAAGAGGAAGGGGAAGATGGCGGATGCTATGCAAATCTCAAAAAAAAGCTATAAATGATCAACTATATAAAGTTTCAAATCGGTGGTTAGCCTTCTTAACATAAAACTACGACTGGTGATAGATTAATTCTCCGTTCTTTTGAATATTTTGTTGTTTATCTACGTATTAAAATTGACGTCTATCTACATATTAAAATCGACAAAGAAAGGTCAGTTAAATACTTTATCTCGATTTTTTATTCCAGTTGGTTATCAGTCAGAGAGTCTCAACTTTCATGCGTTTAATTCTTGGAAATCGGAAGTCAAGGCAGAACTCTTATTCTCGACTATTTAATTTTCTTTGTTTTTTATTTGAATGAAATAGGAAAAAGAAACTCTAATTTTAATATACTAAAAACAAGAAAGACATTTGAAACGTCTATTATTCTAACTTGTACATGTGAAATTTTAACATGAGAGAGTTGACATGGCACTCTTTGATTTGATGTAGAGGAAGGATTGTGTAGGAAACCCGAACTCGTGTTAGGTGGCCTAATGATGTGATATACATTTTCAATGGTCAATTTCTGAGTCCGTTTTAGTTAGGAACATCATTGTAAGCACATTAAATAACCACTTTCAAATTTTTTTAACACTTGTCCCTTGAAATACCCCCAACCTACCCTTAAAAAAGAATAAAGACAACTTTTAACAGTTGTTAGAATATTTATAAAGTGCTCAATGAATGTGCTTCCTATGTTGTGCTTACTAAATCCGGTCCCTCAATTTCTAAGGTTAAGCGAGGTCTAGGCCGGTCTTAAGGGCGATATTCCTACCTTTCGAATGAAAGCTCTTGAATTTTACGTCTAAACTCTAAACCCTTAAATCCTAAATCAAAATTAATATGTAAAACGGCTTTGGTCGGATGTGTCTTTCAATTGTGTAGGAGCCAAGTATTTTTCTAGCATTCGATAGTCTCCTATGGCCGCGTTTGAATGTGGTGGAAAAATCCATCATGTAGAACTTAGTCAATGAAAAAATCCATTGTGTAAAAGTCTATCGGTTTAAAACTATTGGATCGTTGGGAATTTTTAATTGAGAATGAATGTAAAAGTACATCAATTTTATTGATGTATCATTTACATCGATTATCGATGTAAAAATCAGGCAAAAATATAATTACATCAATTTTTCGTTGTAACTTTTACATGAAAAACAAACAACTACAAAAGTGAACCGGATGTAGAGTTTTACATCGATCCACTTTTACACTGAAAATAAACGGGTGTAAATGCGAACCGATAGTTAAATTTTACGTCAATTCACATTTACACCTTAATCAAATGCAGCCTATAAGAATGACAACGGATCAAAATTGGGGCAGGGATCATATTCCCTATCCCCAATCTTAATCCCCATTGAGGATATGAGTTATCCTCCATCCCTGATTCCCAATGGAGATAGTAGGGTTGGCAATCTTGACTTTAACCCTTTTGACCCACCCAACCCAACCACATCAAAACCCACCCATTCTAGGGGTCATATGGGTCAAGTGACCCTTTAGAGTTAGGAGAAGAGGGTCAGGGTGGGTTGGGTCAAGGGTACTCAATGGGTCGTGAAGGGTCAGGGTTAGTTGGATCGAAAGGAGGGTTAAAACAATCAAATGGAACTATGAAAGTGTTTCTTTGTTTAGTTATTGAAGCTAGGGTTTCTTTGTTCCGCCAATGAAGCTTCAACACCATTATTTCTTATTGACGGCTAACGTTGAGCATGATCTTGACCATTGGAAAGATCGCCATCGTTGTTAACAAGGCCTGAGCCTAGGGACGAACTCTTATACTTATCAGCCAATGACGAAGTCATTATCTTTGCATTGGTCCAGATAGTAGACAAAGTGCATCGACCTGTTACTATGTAAGTAGGGTCTTACATATAACCGAGACCAAATACCCCAACATCGAAAAGCTCACTTTTGTGCTTATTGTCTCAACTCGTAAGTTGAGTTCATATTTCCAAGCTCACACAATTGTCGTGCTCACCAACTAGCCCCTACACCAAATCCTCTAAAAGCCCGAGGTGTCCAAGAGACAGACCAAGTGGACCATCAAATTGAGCTTGTGCGATATCAAATTCAAACTGCATCCAACTATTAATGCTCAAGTTCTAGAAGATTCCATCTCGGAATAAACATTCAATGCGCTGACCTCTGCATTCAACGAACCACAATCGAGCTTGGAGGTGTAGTATGGCACCCTCCCCTAGGTCAGAAGTAGAACACAGCTGAGTACGAGGCCTTAATTGTTGGTATATCCCTTGCAAAGGAGATCTGTGTGAAAGACTTGAAGGCTTGTAGTGACTCCCAAATCATCATCAATCAGGTGAACGGGAACTACGAAGCTTGGGAGCCGACCATGATAAATATCTGACGAAGGTCCAATAACTCATGAAGGGGGTAAAATGACCCCTCAATTATGGACATACATATGGCAACCCAGAATCATCTTAGGAAACCTCAACATTATACATGGCAGGGACCTTCGGGGAATGTTTCTCCCAGACTAGCTCATGTTGACTAAACAGTATCAATCTCGTTTGAAGGCAGATTAACAGATGTTAGCACCTGATTTTTGCTCAGTCCATCGCATAAACCCCAATTGACCCCAAATCCCTGATCAAATCCTTATGAAACATCCAAAAACCCAAAAATTCCAACTTTTAGCCCCAAAACCTCCAAATCCACCGTTAAACTTGCTTGATACCTCTCTGATAGCCCCAATCAACCCTTACTTTCACCTCAGCCATAAGATCATACACCACCATCAGGCACAACACCTACCCATGAAATTTTAGCTCAAAATTCCCTCATTTACCCCTTCATCAAGTAAAGATTCCATTCTAACGTCTCTCGTTAGTCTAAGCACTCAGAACCTAGATCCCCTTCATCTTAACACATCCAAACCAATCAGACCACACCATTAAACTCTAGATCACCAAAATACCATCCTATAAGGTTTTAACCCTAGATTCCTCCATTTTCCCTTCTATTAAACCAAAATTTCGTTCCAAAAAGTCTTATTGACTCAAATTTTTACGACCTTAACCCCCCTGAACTGATTACACACCAACATTAGACTTTGGCTGAATCTCAAATTTGCCCGATCTGTGCCCAGTTTGACCAATCTAACCTCACCAAACACCTCAGACAGCCCAAAAACCATAGCTTGTAAAATTTCACCCAAAACTTTCCTTGCTTGCCCCTTCCTCTAAAAAGATTTCATCCCAAGGTTCTAAATTAGCCGAATCAAACCCTTTTTAGATCTGCTTGATCCAGACCTAATTGGGCCAATTTGACCTCACAAATTGACCCAAAATGTCCAAAACCCCCACCCTACCAAATTTCAACTAAAAACCCCTTAACTAAATTACAAAAATACCCTCTGACCAAATTACCAAAATACCCCTTGACCAATTCACCAAAATACCCCCTAACCAAATTACCAAAATACATCTTGACCAAATCACCAAAAATATCCTCTTCTAAATTACCAAAATACCCCTCTTGACCAAATTACCAAAATACCCCTTGACCAAATCACCAAAATTACCCTTTTTCCAAATTACCCAATAACCAAATTCCCAAATTACCCCTCCTTCTGAAATCACCAAAATGCCCTTAACCATATTACCCAAAATACCCCCCGACTAAATTACCAAAAGT